TGCTGCTGTCCACAGAGGGAGCCCTCTAGTGTTTGTGCGGATGCTCGGCAGCGGAGGAGCAGGCCTCAGGGAGAGAAGCCTTTATTGGTGCAGCAGCACGGCTCATGTGGCTTTATTTAAACCTTTGACAGTATTTTTGGGTGAATCTCTGAGCTTATGTACTGGACACTGCGCAGGCGTCCCTTTGTTCGGGTAATGTCACATTCCCTTCTCCTGATCCCCACGCGTCAGTGTATTCAGTTTGCATTTGTGAGCTAAGTGTTGGTTAGAGGATCAGGACTGTGTTGTYGTGCCTCCACAACTTACAGTTACCAGCTAGACTTGCCTGTAAAATGTGATTCATTTTAGATATAACTGGTCATCTTTACAAAGACATGCCACAGTCTATACTTATTATGATAGTTTGATAAATTATTTCCCTACAAAAGCATGGAGGATCTTTAGCTGGCATCCCAAACTTTAGCTGGCATCCCAAAAGCCTAAAGACAGTTGATTAAAGTGTTTATTTGCATTCTTTACATATGCATCAAAATATCTTAGCCCCTTTATACTGTATGTGCACAGACTTTCAGGTAAGTTGACAACAATAAAAATATAGAAATGGTTTGTGAAGAGGGCAAGGGCAGACTGGGATGTTTTTTTGTCTTCCCACTGGAATCAACTCAGGGCAAAACTTCGTAAAAAAAATGACATGGTTGATTAGTTCCCCTAAGAAAATAGAAGAGAAAGATGGTATTTAAGTTCTATCAACATATCCTACAGATCACTGTACAACCAGGCTTGCTTAAGACTGGTGTATTCCACAAGATGTGAGGAAGTGAAKCAGTGATTACATCATTTCAAACATATTTTTTCTTACTGATTTTTTTTTAATTCTCATAGAAGATGTGAGAGATAAATCGTCATTATCCATTCCATAACACTCCCAAAGATCCAACAGTGATAGCAGAATAGATAATAAATAGATGATAAATAATGATGTATCAGATGATGGAAGAAAGGCTTGTGTCAGCAGAAAYRTTYYTTTTTATTTWAGAGRGATGCAAAGAYRGAAAGAAAACATGAATGACATTTACAAGTTCTCTCTTGTTAATTTATTAACTAKTTTTWGGGARTGGACCATTTTCAGCAAAATAACACACAGAAGGATGAACTGCAATGCTTTGCATAGACAAACATGCCTACAAAGTTCTGACCAACCACACAATATWCAATAAACTGTATTGGTCAATAGCAGAGAGTTCTAACAAGATGGGGTGGCAGCAAGAGATAACAGAAGGAAGCGGTACGCAATTTTCATCAGACAAGACCTGAGAAGATAAATCAGCCTTTATRATTAGTCCCAACTTACCAGTTAATTAGTTCTGCCATACCTTCATCAAGTCTGTCAACATCAGTGGAGAAATGTAAAGAAAAAAATGGCATTGCTCTGGAAACAGATTAATAGATATTCAAACTACTTAAAGGGGACTTAAAATGCAAAACTCACTTTTTTTTTCTTTTTGTCTTTTTACTTATCTGGGTCTGTACTGCTTCAAGTACAAGCCCAAAAAATGCACCCAGAGGTATGTTTTACTATAATTAAATGTATTTTTTGTGTGTGTTGAAATGAACTGTTTCAAACACCAACAGTTTATGAAATCACAAACTGTTCACCAAAGCACCCCAGCTTAGCCCAGCCCCTCACCTGGCAACCCAAGGTGGAACTCCACCCACTTCTTAGGAAGAAAGGTTCTGCTGTTTTTTTACAACAGTCATGGAGAACATAGAAGCCTAGACTAATTTATTTATTTGAAGGCAATGTCCTAGCATTATAGCCAAAAAAGTTGTAGTTTGCGCAAACATTTTCACAATGGACTACTGTGAAAACTACTACCAGCAGGGTGTTCCCAAGGACTTTCAACTAAAGGAAACTTCTGTCCCTGTTGTTCCTCACAAATTTACAGGTAATGGTGAGTGCCGTGTGTGTTTAATATTGCTGTTTAGCATGAACATAATTTGTTGTTTAGCACAAACTAATTTTAATCACACGGCTGTGACAAGGCGAGCAGCTTCGCTTTTCCTCTTCATAACGCCAGGTCCTCATGAAGCGCCGACCATGGTCAGCTGCACTGCAGCACGCTTCGCCTTTCCCTCTCTGGGTCCTCGTGATGCGCCAACCACAGTCCGGCACTGCACAAGCAGCCTGTCTACTACTGTTGTACCATTATTGTGCATCTGCTTGTAGCAGCCATTGTCACATCTCTGAAGTGCTAACATAAATACTGTATTGGGAGGGTGGAGCTAATGTAAACAAAAGGTTGGGAGGGTATTGCCACCAGCAGCTTATTTGCATAAACAGATCGTTCTGAAGGGAGCTCAGACAAGGCAGAACTGACCGGGTGATAGCTCATCGTCTAAAAATGATTTTGTGTATTGAATCTAATGAACATGTTATGTATAGCCAACATATGTCTCCTAGCTTGAACCCATATTAGGTCATACGATGATCATCCATGGTAGCATTCATTGCATCTTAGGTTGAGTCAAACTCTGTCTCAAACAGGTATGCTTAACTTAATTTGTCCATCTTGAATTATTGCTCTTGAATCCTTCATGTTGTTGTTTTTTTTGTTTGTTTGTTTGTTTTTTTTTTGTTTGTTTTTTTTTAACTGAGTTGTATTTCCAATGGAAAAAGTCCAAAAAACCAGATGGAATTGCTTCAAAATCTGATGAAATTTCATGACATGTACCAGCTGATCATTATATCTTCACTGTCTAGACTAAGTTAATCAACACAAATACACTTCATGTTAATTTACCTTTTTTTTACTTCACATTTTAATTTTGTGGGATTTTTGCTAAATCCAAACTGCATTACCCAGCTGTGTTTTTATTATTGTTGACAGTGGAAAAAGATGAAAAAAAAAAAAAACACCACCAATAAATTAAAAACAACAGACCTGCTCCTCACAGGCTCTTTCCACCAGAGGCCTTTTGACCTGAGTGCCAGTGATCCCAATTAACAAAGCCATCAAGTCAACCATTATTTATTTCAGTACCATTTAATTTTCCTCCCACTCCTGCTTTGATGCTGCAGCTGCATTTCATATGGGAATTCTCCAATCATCTTTTTTAAAAGCCCATGCTACATAATGCATCAGGCTGTAAATGTTGAGCCATGTTTCTCTTTCTCCATATGAATGAAGATTTCATTGATGGACATTCTGGGCATATTGGTTGTTCATGGGTGGAGAAAAAACATATAAAAAAACTGCTCAGGGGTGGCTGTTCATCTCAAATTGCTCTAAATGTGAAAGTGCATAAAAGAACACATTCAAGTAACAGAAGTTCTGCATTTCTTCAACACAATTTGATGTAGCACTCAGTCAGTCATACACGAAAGTCCAAATGACTGGTAGATGCAGCRCTGTCATCAGAATCTGCTGGGCTGTTTTTAATGCCAAGTTTTGGCTAATTGACAAGCAAGTGAATCCAAAATAAATAAATCCTTCTAAAATTTCCTTCTGCATCTCAGACTTTTGTGCAAATGAGATAGTTAACGCTTTAAATTAGTGATTAATTCCACTGACATGGCCCCAGCCAGTGATCAAAATATCAGAAAGCTTTGAAAAAGGCAAAGTAAGTGAAGGGGAAATGGTCTTTAGAAACCAAGCGTTCCCAATCGATCATTAGTTACTGCATTGTCAGTGGTATTAATCACAGGGCTGTTGCAGTGTGTACCAAAGACCTATAAAACTACAATTTACCACAAACACACACACGCGCGCACGCACGCACACACACACACACACACACACACACACACACACACAAATATTCATATCTTCACTGCAGACTTTGCATTGACGTCCATTCACGTTTCATTCATTTGTATAGCCTAATCCTGACTCTTGTATGTAACCCTATACTTAAACAAAACTCAGTTCACTTCTTAGACTTAAACCTAACTCCCAAGCCAGAAACAGCATTCAAACTTATAAGGCCAGTAGTATGTTTTGGAAAAAAATGGGCCTTACAAGGGAACAAATGGTTGAACACCCACTAACCATATTTCTAATTTTAGAGGTTGATTTAGTTTTTTACACGACACACTCTTTGAACTGACACCAA